GAACAGGGTCTTAAAATGTAAAGAAATAACAGGAAATATCTTGTCAACTCAGGAATTAGTTCATCAAGCTCTTTTGGTACTGAGCAGCCAGTGCTATTCTTTTTTGTAACAGCCTGATATTAAAGCACTCAATTAAAAAGTGGGAATTCTGGGATTCTTGGCCTTTTCAGTATACTGAATTGCAGATCCTGACTCCATGAGTCCAGATGAGTGGTTCTCACCATGCTTTGAAGCTGAATTATAGTACAGTTCACCTTTGTAGGGCCACAGAGAACAGAGTGAAACAGGGACTCCAGGAATTCCTCACTGCCAGTTATTTTCACAGTCTTAGTGCTTCCCCATATACACAAGAGAGCATGTGGACAGTGTCTCTTTCAGTGTCCAAAATCAGTACACATCTGAAAAACAAACCAAACCAAACAAAAAAAAAATCAAAAACAAAAGGGCCATATTCCCATCACCTAGCTCTACCTAAAATTCAGTGGGTCTTATGTCCCATTGTCTGGCTGTGAGTTTTCTGAAGCAGGTACTTAATGGAAATTTTAGGCTAATTGGAATTTAAGGTGCCTGAAAATAGGTCAAAGGCAGCACTTTAATAGCTATAGAGAAAATAACTCCAAGCAAAGGGGGTTTTTTACTACTTTTTTATTCAGTTAAAATCAAGGAATTTGATGACTCAGATACGAGGTGTTAATATGTAGTTGTTTGTAAAATTAAGATAGACGTAAATCTGTCCTAGTAGTAGCAACAATACATGAAGGGTAGTCTGCTCTTCACATGATACATGGCTAGCTTAACTGTGTGAGGAATGTGTATATGCTGTAAAATGTCACCTGTGTAAGGGACCAAATGAGCCCTATTCATACTTCACAATTGTCAGTGCGATGAATTGTGTTATCATTTTAGATTTGACACATATAACTGCATTCTTAAGGTAGTTTGCATTTAACCTAAATTACTTTCCCCCTAACTATCTGGTGAGAATGAAATTCAGCTGCCCTAGATAAGAGTAATGGTATTTATTAATAGAATTATAATAGAACTTAAATGTGCAGAGTACATCAGGACAGGAGATCACAGTCCTTAAGGGATTGATTTATCCTTGACTTCTATGAGCCTTTGTTATGGTAATGATAGATATATATTCCCAAAATCCATTTCGTTTGTCTATGCCTTACCCTTTGATTTCTTTATTAACTCTCCTCCCTTGTCAATACAATGTTTTTGTTAATTCAGATCAGGTTTTGCAGCTTGCGTCATACTTTGCTATTTTTTTACCAAAATGGTTTATTGAGTTCTCTTGCAGCTTATAGGCTTTCCCCTCTCTGCTGCACCTCCTGCCACTGCTGCCAGAAGGGCCCGTGGGTGAGCTGCCACCAGTCAGACTCTGACCAACCTAATTAATCACTCCCAACCTTCGCTAATAAACATAATTTTGGTAATTTAGGGTAAATGTGTTGATGTACTCTAGAATACTAAAAGTTTTATCTAAATATGTAATTTGGGGTTTTACGCATTTACATAAATATTAAAATTTATGGTGGCCCTGGGTGCTACTGACATTGCTGAAATGGTAAATCCTTGGTATTTCTAAAGTCAAGATCTGTGTTTGGGTGAACAGTCATGGGCATGGGTGGTTAGCTCACAGTGTTTGTAAATACGGGCCACCATGATATGAGCCAATGGCACCCTTCACATCATCAGTAAATGGAAAAGCTGTTTAAAGGTAATAATGTTTTTAAGGATATAAACAAGAACAAAACATCAGCTGTAAGAATAGCTATAAGACTATTAGAGAGCTATAAGAAAAGCTATAAAGTACAGAACATTTCTCATGAGCTTATTTTAATATAAGAAGTGGGGTGGTTTTTTTCTGAAACACAATATACTACTGCTTTCTTCAGTATAGGTATGTCTTGCAACACGTGCTCTTTCTTGGGACTAGATCTATATGAAAGGTCAGTAACATAATTTTGCTGCTGTGCTAGGCTCTGAACTCAGCTACAGTTAAATAGATACTCTGACTGTAGCTATACTCATAGCAGTTATGAAAGATTAATTCAGTGTTATGTTTCTGTTTAATGAAAGAGTTGAAATTAGCATTTCTGCTAATTTCAGGTTTAAGGTTTAGAAATTATGATCCTAATTATTCTTTTTGAGGGGAACATAAGATAAATTATTTACATAGAATTATTTTTTTTAAGTGAAATCTTTCTCTTTCAAGATATATGTCCCAGCATCTTCCGTGTACTTTGTTGTCTTTATCTTGCCATTTCAAAATACATTATACATATTTCTTCATTGGACATGCAGTAAAATAACGTGTACTCTAAATAACCTGTTATGCCATTGCATAACAGTATGGTGAAGATTTCCAGATCTTGTTGTGTATTATAAATTTAATTTGGATTTTCTGTTTCGTCAATACAATGATTTTAAATTATATTTTTGCCTGAGGAAGGAATAGCAGCTTTGAGGCAATTTCTGATAGAATCCATTTATACAGCAATATTCCAAAGGAGAGGTTAACACAGCAACACAGAAACTCCAGTTTCTGTCCCTTGCAGGTCCTTTCTCTTTTTTTTTTCCTGCCTACTTCTTCCTCAATCAAAATGTACTTGCATTATTAATGAAGTTCAGTCCCAGCACTGGTGTGGAATCTGAAGGGTAAACTCAAACAGCAAGTTTGAAGTTCTAATCCTTGAAAAGCCAGTGTGAATAACAAATGATATTAAGCAGGGCACAGTAGATAGTACCTGGTTCAACAATTCTGCAAATGTGATTTCATTGATTCTATCTGTGTTTTTCCCTCTGTGTTTTACAGAGCACATTGACTTCGGAAGATGTCTTTGCTTATTGCCATTAACATTAGAATGATAGAAAAATGTGCAAAAAGATTTGGGTATGGTGCGAACTGAAAGCCATTATGTACTTTATTAGCAAATTAGGGATTTGGTTTTAATTATGGTTGTGCTGCAATTATCACACACTATATTGTGTAAATGGAGCTTTTTTCTGAATTTCATTAATAGTTTTTACTCCAGTTACACTCCCTAGAAGGGAACAAGTAAGGCCGCAGTTCCATCTCACTGTTGGCTTGATTTTTAACTTGGCTAAAAGAGGTGTCACTTGTAATGTGCCCTGGATGGTCACTCACCCAAGAAGTAGCATTTTCAGACCCTTGCATGACAGCCAGTGGCACTTGCCTGTGGAAGGATAGAAGGACTGAAAGGCTGAAATTCATTCTGTTTTGAAGCAATAATTAGCTGTCACATGATTATACTGCCAGCAAGCTGGCTACTGGAGTGACTCTTAGTACTGTGATCAGCCTGCAAAGAGCTGAATACAAAGGAAAGAAGCTAAAGAAAAAGGAACTTCTGACTGAGACAAAGCTTGTAACATAAGTAAAAATTGCCCACTATGTATTATAGTGGATGAAACACTCCATAGACAGAGAGGAACAGCTTCTCATTCAGAAGCCCTGGTCCTTATGGGGGACTTCAACCTCCCTGATGTCTGTTGGAGGGACAACAGGCAGGGCACATGGGTTCCTGGAATGCATTGAGGATAGCTTCATTTTTCAAATGCTAGAGGGGCCATTAGGGAGAGACACTATGCTGGACCTTGTCCTCAACAACAGGGAGAGGCTATGGGGAATATGAAGCTCCGGGACAGCCTTGGCTGCAGTGACCATGAAATAGTAGAGTTCAAGATCCTTAGGGCAGCAAGGAGGATGCACAGCAAGCTCTACCCTGGACTTGAGAAGAGCAGACTTTGGCCTCTTGAGGGAGCTGCTTGGTGAGATAGAGGCCCGGAGGGACAGGGGCCCAAGAGAGCTGATTAATTTCAAGGATCTCCTCTTCCAAACATGCATTCCAACAAAGAAGTCAACAAGGTGTCTGTAGGAGCAGCTAAACAAGACAACACCAGCCATCTGGATGATAGAAGAAGAAGAAAATATTAAAGCAAAAATATTGTGGTCCTGAGAGAGCCAGAGCTAAGATTAGTGTGTATGGGAAAAGAATAACAAGGTCAAGCTGGAAAGCTGCTTGAAGCATGATTGTTCTTCGTGGCTGAAGGCAGCCACAGGAGTGGTTGTATGGTATGTGTGCAGACAAGTAACATCTTCCTGGCTGGATAGCTCGGACCCAGGGTCGGTAGAGAGTCTGTATATGGGTATGGAGTAATAAAGTTACAAGAGAATTCTTCATGGACAAAAGTCTGTCCTGCTTGAATTCATTCGCCGAAAATGGTGCTGTGAGGGATTTTTTCTGCAGGTTTCCGTGTCAAGGAGGTTGGAATTAGATCTTTAAAGTCCCTTCCAACCCAAACCATTCTGTGAGTCTGTGATTCTATTTTGTATCAGTAAGAAAAGGAAGTTCATCTGATATTTATTGAGCCATCAGAAATTACAGTGCTGGAGTTGATACCCTGCTGACTTAGAATGGGCCTATTTTATTTCATTTAATACTTGAGTCCTAAAGCAAGAGCTCCTTTCAGGATATACAAAATAACTGAAGGCTACATTCAGTGATGCTAATTGGTATTGGATTAAATCATCCAGTTATGCTAAGGTGCAATGTAAGGTGGAATTTGTGTTTTAAGTCCATAAAGGTAGCCAGGGAAGTTTGCCAAAAATATCAAATATTTATAAAATTAATTTTTTATCTAATTACAAGTTTTTTGAGAATAGTACCTTTTGTATATGAAAGTCCATTTACATTTTGCATATAGATATATTTCTTTATGTTTATGTGTTCTATGCCTTGTGTATTTTATTTTACATGTTCATGCTCTTTATGATCAGCTTCACTACCCATATACATTTTTCTGCCCACATATTTTAGGTGGTTGTCCACTCCCACTGTACAATTTTTCAGCATACCAATGATAATGCAGAACAAGTCACCCAAATACCATCCATGGAATTTATGGTTTGAGTGGTTTGACAGCTCAGCCAAAATACAAAGTTTCAGCAAGTTTCACCTTTTGCATTTCAGGATTATAATGATGAAATTCGCCAGGAGCAGCTGAGAGAACTGTCGTATTTGAATGGTTCTGAGGACTCATCACGTGGACGGGGCATTCGAGGAAGAGGGATCCGTGTGCCACCTGCAGCTCCTTCAAGGTGTGGTAACTTGAACTATTATGCTAATAGCTTTAGAAAGTGTAAACAATAGTAAAAAAATCATAGTTAAAAAAAAAAAAGAAAATCACATACACATGCTGGTCAGTAAACCAAAATATTTGTCTTTTGATAACTTGTGTAGTCTGTGTTGTGCCAGGTTCTCTGGTCTACAGTTCACAGGCTACAGTGGATAGTATACAAGTAATAAACAACAAATGAGAGCAGATTATGAAGCCAATGAAAGGATATTTCTAGGAAAGAATATTGTTATGCTAGCAATGTACCAGTATGGTCAGTAGCATAAAATCATTGGCTAAAAAATAGTATAGTCTGAGAAGACTACATAATCTGAATGGAACTTTATTTGCCAAATAATTACTTTTTTATACATATTACAGTTTATATATAAAAATAATATATATTATATTACATATTTGTTGATAGGTTATCGGTTTTACATGAATTTGGTTGACGTAATCTAAAAACATTGGTGTATGAATGTTTCCTGAATTCTTCCAAGTATTTTTTCATATCTAGATAACAGATATCTCTGCTTGTTCCTAAAGCCAGTGTAAAATATAAATGCACTCTTTCAGACTTATTTTTCGCTGTGAATCCCTAAGAAATTTGTTGCCTTGGGCATCTAAGTTACCTAGCTACTTCTAGTCTTCCCTCCATAGAGATAATTTCAGGATTGGTCTTAAAAAACTGACTTTTGTTTTGGAGGAAGTAGCATAAGCTTATGTTATGCTGACATAGGAGTTCTTTGGCAGTTGAACAGGCTTCTTGCCTATGACCCTTGGGTTTGTTTTTTTTTTCCCTGAAGATGTCTACCATGTTTTCTGTCATTTCTTCCTGGATGGATTTTTTTATCAGTAGCATGATGCACTGTGGTAGTTTAGTCTAGGCCTTCCTTGGTGACCAGTTTGTAACCAAGGAAGTGCCCAGATTTACCCGGTATTCCCTACTATTTTTACGTAAGCCAGGGTATAAGAAGAAAGGAGGAGAGGCTTTTGCCCTCTTTCTTTCCGGCGGCTTTGGAGGTGCGGGTTTCCCTACTGTTGAGTCTGCCAGGTTGGAGAGTGAGGTCTGGTAAGGCCTTGTCGACCTTGGGAGGCGGAGGTTGCCGGCAGTCACTCCAGCGTGACTCTCCGTTGTCCCAAGGAGAGTAGTAAGATATTCTTTGCTAATTCTCCAAACCTTACCAAGCTGTCTCTCTCTCGTTTCGGTTTTCTTGGTTGTTTTTTTTTCCCTCTTATCCCTTGGTTTTGGGGGGGGACGGACTTCTTGTGGTAAGGTTTGGAGACTTGGCAGGGAGCCAGCTCCAAACCATATCATGCACATACATAGAAATTTTTACAGTTGCCATGCATGACCATCTTCCACTCAAAGTCTTTTTGGACTCAGTCTTCCTTATAGCTAAGATCTCTGGAACTTAATAATGATGTTCAGAACATCACTGCAACAAACTGGCAGCTTTTAAATTATGTTCAAAGGATAATCAGTGGAGTGCTGGCCCCCAATTCCTGCAAAATACCTTACTGATTGAATCAGTTGCACAAATCCTATGATGTTGGATGGTTTCCCTATTTTCCAGTCAAAAATCCGAGGGGAATATTAAGAAAACAAATTTTATGGTATTTATTTTATGGTATTTATGGTATTAAACAAATTTTTATTTTATTAAAAAAACATATTTATGGTAGTGTGGTTGATACATTTGACGGAAGGATGCCATCCAGAGGGACCAGTACAGGTTTGAGAAGTGGGCCTGTGTGAACCTCATAAAGTTCAACAAGGCCAAGTGCAAGGTCCTGCATGTGGGTAATCACCAGTGTCAGCACAGACTGGGGAGTGAGGGGATTGGGAGCAGCCCTGCAGAGAAGGACTTGGGGATATTGGAAGGTGGAAAGCTGGACAAGTTCCAGCAATGTGCACTCACAGCCCAGAAGGCCAAACGTATTCTGGGCTACATCAAAAGCAGCATGTCCAGCAGGTTGAGGGTGGTGATTCTGCCCTTCTACTCTGCCCTTGTGAGACCCCACCTGAAGTGTTGCATCCGTCTCTGGCGTCCTCAGCACAAGAAAGGCGTGTTGAAGCAGGTCCAGAGGAAGGCCACAAAAATCATCAGAGGACTGGAGTGCCTCTCCTGTGAAGTCAGGCTGGGAAAATGGGATTGTTCAGCATGTTGAAGAGAAGGCCCTGGGGTCACCTCGTTGCAACCATTCCATATATGTAAAGAGGGCTTATAAGACAGAGAGAGGCTTTTTACGAGTCTTAAACTGAAAGAGATTGGACATAGGGAACACATTGTTTTCAATGAGAGTGGTGAAACACTGGAACACATTTCCCAAAGAAGTTGTAGATGCCCCATCACTGGAAATGTTCAAGGTCAAGTTGGACACGTCTTTGCACAATTCGATCCAGTGAAAGATGTCCCTGCCCAAGGCAGGCTGTTTAGACTAGAGGCTCTCTGAAGGTTCCTTCCAACCCAAACCATTCAGTGATTGTGTAAGTCTAAAATTGGCTACTGAAACTTGTAGTAAAGTAGTGAACATCAGAAGCTAGTGCTCTGCATTTGGTTGTCTCAGCAGGGAAAGAGCCACAGCTCTGGATCTGGCACTCCCAGTCTTCAGAAAGGGCAGCACATTTGGGAGCACGCTGCTCTGAAACAAAACCCATCCAGACTGCTTCCCTGATATACTCCACTTCTAATTCATTATATGGTATAGTTACAAGAACCTTTCTGTAAAGAGTAACAGCTTCTTCTGACTTACTAATTAGTACAGTGAGGCAGGTATAGCAAAAGTAGCCAGAAGGACACTAGAACTGTTTCCCTGCTTGTTTATATGCTCTATTCTCTCTGTGCAGTGGGGGAAAGCAGAATTCCATGCTGCTCTTCCTTTGTGCTGAACTAAATTAGACAGGAAGGAAAGTTACTGCTCTCCTTTTATACTCTTCCTCTACTTTGCCTTGCAAGTTTCTGCCATCCTGCAACATCTTCTGCCAGTCTGTTTCTCCTGCCCACTAATAAACATGAGAATGAGAGTGATGGCTGCTCTTGTAAAGTAGTTTGAGAGCAAGAGAAAAAGTTCCTCATTTTCTTCATTCTCTATAACTACTTCAGCATAATTCTGCAACTCTGTGAATTAGAATGATTCAGAATTTCACTAGTACAAGCAACAAGAGGATCAGGTATAAAAGGCACTGGGGGGCTTAAAAATAATGCCTTTCCATAATAGGAGTTCTGACCAAGTTATTGTCTGAAAGTGCTTGACATTGTAACTGCCAAAATCCCACAGTTATATGATGCTTTAAATAGTAGTAAAAATGTAAGAACCTTTAAAATGGGGTAGCAGGGACATGTCCTCTCTTGCCGTACATGCTAAAGTGATCATTCCTGTTTGCTCCCCACAGGGGTCGTGGGGGTGCGATTCCTCCACCCCTGCCTGGACGAGGTGCCCAAGCACCCAGAGGAGCACCGGTGACCCGTGGAGCCCTCCCTGTGCCACCAGTGGCAAGGGGCGTTCCCACCCCTCGAGCCAGGGGCGCCCCATCTGTCCCAGGTTACAGACCACCCCCGCCACCTGCACACGAGGCCTACGAGGACTATGTAAGTAACTGCTTTCATTCAGAACATGTGTGAGCCAAGCTCTGTGATGAACATCAAGTACTGCTGAGATTTAATACTTCAGGTCAATAATTCCTCTGTCTCTAGTGCTTACCCCTTGCGGTTGAACAACAGTCTGAGCAATACAATGTGTCTGCAATCTTGTGCTTGGTGATGGGGGTTTTTAGATTTGTTTACAGCTTAGTTTTGGATACAAGAGATCATGCTGGGTAGTTCTCGGGGTGTCACAAAAGAGCAATACAGATATTATAAAATTTATATTTTGTACTAAAAGTCAGTTGTTACTGTAGGCAAGTTCCTAGGAATAACAAATTATATCCTTTGTGAGAAAATGGGGGTGGGATGTTCTTCCGAATCCTTTTCGTTACATATTTGTATTAAACATTGTGTTACAGATACACAACAAATAGAAATTCAGGTAGTTTTCATGAAAGCTGATACGATGGTGAATCTTTAGCAAGGAGCAGTACTAACTAACTGTCACCTTATAGGGTGTTAAAAATAATTGTGCTGTACACATCAAAGCTTTCAAGTCATCCTCATTAATGTTTCTACCTGGAACTATCACCATAGCAACAGATATCCAAATAGAGGAGAAAGTACTATCAAATAGCATGTCTGAATTTTTCCACCTATGTCAAGTCCAAGAGTAAGATGAACATCCCGTCTATCCTGTCTCTAGGAGAAGACACAGTTTTATTCAATTAATGGTTCTCCTAGTACAGAAGAAAGGAAAATGAAACAGAAATTAATCTTTGTTGTTAAAGCTTTACTCAACCATGTAGAACTCTATTTGTAGCATAGAGATTAGATTACGACCATGTCAAAACAGCGATGCACATTCTGTTGATGCCAAGAGTCACAACTCAGCAAGAGCAGCAAAAAAGGAGGGGGAAAAAGTCATTCTGGTATTATTTACCTCAACACAGTTTCCATCATTAAATGAGATGAAAGTCCTGCTAAGAAAAGGACTTTCAAAAGTATACCCTTCATTGATAGACAGTATATTATTATCTGTTAGTATCGAAATGTGAGACCTTCCTTTCTATGCAGATACACATACTTTCCTAATCCATGAGTGAAAAATGTCAAAACAGAACCCTTGTAATGTAAGATTAAGCTTATAAATTGAGTAATTTTTTTTCATTTACAGTATTAGTAGATGTCCTAGAGTATTAAGCAGTTTTTAGGGAACATTTCTTACACTTTTCCTGGATGGTGAATATATGGAAAGCAAGAGGAAAAATTAAGGCAGGATTATCAAGGTTAGGAAGGCATTCAGCCAGTTCGATATTGTTTTGAAATGCTAACACTCTTAGAATTACAAAATATATTCACAATTAAAAGAGTCATTTTAGTTTATAATACATTAATCAAATAAAACCAAACAAATGTGTTTGTGTTTCTGTTTCCCCTTCTTAGATAGCAGCAAAACACATACTGCCTTATAGGACTAATTCACATGTTTTGGAGATCCTTTCATCTCCTGTGTCCTTTTAACATCTATATTCGATGTCTAGGAATATATGGGATTGCTATCATGCACCAGTTTGCAATGAAAATCTCTTTTCATTTTATAAAAGTTTTTAAATGCAATCTAAATCATTTTGGTATCTTATGGACTGAGATAATAACTAAAACTCTGATGCTGTGCAGGTACAAGGAAAAGTTCATGGTCATATATCTATGTATGATTTGTAAATTATGTTTTAAGAGAAAATGGTTTTATTTTGACAGGAAGTAATCAACACAGTTTTTCTTCCCAAATAAACCGTATAATAAATCATGTGTCTGACTGGATACTAAAAGCAAGTGGATCTATTTACTGACCAGCAACAAATGTCGTGTGTAACTGTTGTTCTTTCACACTTAATCCTACAGATGAAAAACTAATTTGTAATGAATTATTTATCCAATTTACTTTGTATTCTGCTTCTAGGCAACCCACAAGTGTATTACAATATTTTTATGTGTTTATGTTTTTAATTTTTGACTACAGTCTTTCACACCATTTTTTGCTTAATATACACGAGTTTGATTAGTTGTACGCATGAATGCTATGTCATTGATTGTGAGTATCCATATTCTTAATTTTTCTTTGCTCTAATGAAATATAGTCATTTAAATGTGGAGCTGAAAGTGAAGTCAATAAATAGAATAGAATGGCTACAGCAGATTTTGTAAAATGTTTGAACAGCTCTTCCTGAAAAGAAATCTTTATCTCCTTGCTGAGCACTACTAATCAGATATTGTATTGACTGTTTGAGCTTGAAACATCTAACTGTTCAAATCGGTTTCGATAACCATTAAAAGTTTAGATTATCCAATATATAAATATTTTGAGGTTTTCTGAGGCCTTTCTGAGAGTCCATAAAAGCAAATGTCTAACAAAAAGTAAAGTCCTGTCATTGTGGTGAATATATTAATGTTCAACATTTTGAATGTCAAGCCTAACTGGAGGGAAAATTGTTTGGAACAACTTTCAGAAAATAAGAGGGCTTGAGAGGGAAGGGAAAGTGACTCACCTCATGCCTTTTTCTTTAGTTGCTTGTGAAACGTGCTTTTCATTGTGTGTAGCCTAGATAGTATCTTAGAGGAACTTCAAAAGATTACCCACAGAAAGGGGAGGTACTGACATTAGAAGATTTATGCAAAAGGGAAAACCCAGTTACTATATGAACCTTCATCATTTTACAGTTCATTGGTGTGAATTTGGATGGAGAGTGTAACTGACAGCAACTATGCACCTTCTTGGATCAAAAGGGGTGGTCCTGGGTTTGTGACCTGGTGTTGTGCTTTAACCCCAGCTAAAAACTAAGCCCCACACAGTTGCTTACTCCCCCCCCGGTGGGATCAGGGAGGGAATCAGAAGTGTAAAAGTGAGAAAACTCATGGGCTGAGACAAGACAGTTGTAGTGGGTTGACCCTGACTGGATGTCAGGCGCCCACCAAAGCTACTCTATCACTCTCCTACACAAGTGGACAGAGAAGAGAAAATATAACTTAAGGTTCATGAGTTAAGGGCTGGGAAAGGTCACTGACTGGTTACTGTCATGGGCAAAATATACTCAACTTGGGAATATTACTTGAATTTATTACCAGCAAAGTCAGAGGAGGATAACGAGAAGTAAAATAAGTTTTCAAAAACACCTTCCCCCCACCGCTCCCTCTGTCACAAGCTCTATCTCCTCCCCCCACCACGGCGACGCAGAGAGACGGGGAATGGTGTTTATGGTCATCAGTTCATCACACGTTGTTCCTGCCACTGCTCAGGTAGAAGAGTCCTTCCCCTGCTCCCAGCATGGGATCCCTATCAGAGGAGACAGTCCTCCACAAACTTCTTCACTTTGTGGATGACAATGCACTGGAACGGATTGCCCAGAGATATTGTGGAATCTCCCTCACTGGAGATATTCAACAACCATCTGGACAGAATCTTGTGCCATGTGTTCTTGGATGACCCCACTTGAGCAGGGAGGTTGGCCCAGATGATCCATTTAGTCCCTTTCAGCCTGACCCATTTTATGATTCTGTGATTCTGTGATTTGATTGGACATCTGCTCAAATATAGTAAGGAAAGTTAACATTGGTATTATCGTTACAGACTGGGGATAGACTTCAGCAGTCTTCTCTTGAGAAGAATAAGCATTTTTAAAGGCTAATGTCTTGGCAACTTTCAAAACAGGCAATAGGCATGACAGGTTGAGATTCATGATTTATACAGAAGTGGAGAGTACTTCAGTAGGTCTTCTGCGATTGAGGCAATAAATAATGGAATCATAGAATCATAGAATGGTTTAGGTTGGAAGGGACCTACCAGATAATCTAGTTCCAACCCTACTGCCGTGGGCAGGGACACCTTTTCACTAGACCAGGTTGCTCAAAGCCCCATCCAACCTGGCCTTGAACTTGTAGGGATGGGGCAACTTTTCTGGGCAAAGCTAGTGTTCCACACAGTATATTTTAATGAGAGTGTCCAGACTCTTCCACTCAGGATTAAAACTAAATATTTGAAGGGTGCTTAACCTAGATCTAAGCCAGAAATACTGTTGATTTCAGATCCTTTTTTGGACCACATTTGACTCTGGATCTATATTTGTTCCTTCTGAATCAGAAGCTACAAATGAGTTGTGCAGTGATATTCGTTTTTTACATTTTTTTAAGAGCTGTGGTGAGCCTTGCAAAGGGCTTGAAGTGACTTATCACTTGTTCCCTTAGACCAGATGCAAAGAGTTACCAAAACAGAACACATTTGTGATTAAAATACACAGTTTTTATATTTTACCTCCACTTGCATTTTTACTCCTGGATAAGAAAGGAAACTTTTGCATGGAAAGCCACTAATTTTAATATGAATGCTTAGATGAGCTTCTTGCATTTACAAAGAAATATATAATTTGTTTGCAAGAAATAAGCCAGTCTGTCAAGACCCTGTGAAGCTGGTACAGCTCTTGGGTCTAGGACAACCAGATTAAAGAGCAATTTTAAATGCAAATATTCTCTCTCGCCTCTCATTTCACTGATCAAACCAGCCAAACACAGCTTCTTGTTATCTTCTGGAATAAGAGCAATGTTTTTAAAAAGTCACTGGAAAAGAACCACACAATAAGATAGATTGTGCTTTTAATGTCGTGCTGTTCTTCCTCTCACTTCAAGCTGTTTAAAACAAAAGCAAATGCCACATTCCACTATTTATTCTAAGATCAATGGTTATTTACATTTTTCAATAGTTTTCAAACAAACTGAAACAACTATGCTCATGCTTGTTTAGTGCCAACCTAGACAATTAAAAGACTGACAATAGGAGGCGTTTTGTCACACTTCAAGATTTTTAAAATATATAATCAACATTTATATGTGACTGCAATCCCCAAAATTGCAGTTGTGGAGGCTTCGTTTTGTATTTTAAATGGGAATTCTTGGGCTGTTAAATCCATTCTGCCACTTCTAAATGTAGATGGAAACTGTGTATACAGACCTGC